CACTGGTCAACAAAAAAACACATTTTTTTCTGTCCTGGACTTTTAAAGCAGTTTTAGACTAATTTCAGGGTGCTGATTCCAAATTTGATCTCAGATTTGCTCTATCACATCGTTTTTATGCTATCCGCATACCCCATTTTCATTGATTTTACCCGAAAGTAACTGTCACTTATGATTGCAAGTTGTTGCGAGTCAGTGACTGCTTTAGTGTTAAAATATGGTGCTGTATTTTTATGATAGTGTGTTTATAATATCATTTTATGTAGATATCCACATTAATTTAATATATTTTTTCTGCAGTTTCTATTGAAAATGCAATATTTGATATCTCAAAAACCTGATAGACAAAATCTGATGCCAGATTTGGAATCAGCACCCTAAAATTACCTTAAAACCGTTGGAATACCTTATGCCAGAAAAAGTGTGTTGACCAGTGTATAATTGTCACTTTTGTTGGCCGTGAGCTGGAAACAAACTCGGGTTTCCTGGCCCTTACATTATATGTACCTACAAACAAAGACAAATATCCTCCATATAGCCTTAACAGACTGTTGGGGCAAGAGCCGTTAGTGAGCTCCTATGAAGGCCGCCACGGTACACGAGGGGGTGGGTGGCCAGCATCACGCCCGACCGCCTTTGTATCCCAAGTGGCGATGTTTACACGCCGCACCAGGTACTCATTTGAGGCTGAGTCGACTTAGGGGAAGCCCGCTACCGGTTCAGATAATCGTCACGGCTGTTGGCCATGAGCGGGAATCGAACTCGGGTCGCCGGTTTCGTAGTGCAGCGCGCCAATTGCTAACACTACCGCTCCCCGCACACACGCATGCACAAATGTTGTAAATAGCGAAACGTTCATACATAAATCAAATCGAGTTGATTTTCAAGGCAGCGACATCAAGGGCTGCGTTCGGAGGAGATTTCCTTGCATCACAACCTCCCTCCCTCCGCTTTTTTTTTTGTTAACATCAACGGCACAAACAAAACCCCACAACAAAGACCTCCCTTGCTAATGAAACCCCCTTCATGGGGAAATCCTGACAATTTCAATTTGTGGATGCGCTTCCGATTTAGATTATTTTTCTTGGGGTTGGCGTGAAATGCGTTTCAAAAGCCCGCCGTTATTCATGCTGTGCACTCGCGAACATCATCATGCTTATTTTCGTCACCACCACCATCATCATCAATGACACTTTGAAGAAATCCATGACACGGACTTTAAAGTTTAAAGTTGATGCAGTAGCTTGATAGGATGGCCAGCATCCCCCGACAGAAGGTCCATTATTGTTTAGTATTAATGTCATCATAATTGTAATAACAGCATTAATACAATTTACATTATATATATATTTTTGGCAAGGCATTACATTATATGTTGAACACCATTTGCAGGCATTGGCTGATTTATAGCGACATTATTATACTACACAAGAGTAAAATTACTTGGTTCACTGATGATGGGGTTTGTGTATTTCTAAACGTTTAGCGTGGGACATAAAGCAGTTTACTTCAGCTGACCCTGTCCTGAGAAGCAATAAACTTACGGCCCATAATTTTGTAGGAAGGCCATAACTCTAAGCACTTGATCCTCACCATTTTCGAATGCCAAATCTTCCAGAACATCGTTATAACTTACATCAGTCACACGCAAACAGTTGCATAGGATCTGCAGTGCCAGAAAATGGCCAGACTCCAGGGATATCAAAGTGAGGATCCAAAAGGCGTGGCTGAAATTGAGAGAATTCGGTGATGTAGGACAGAAGGATTCCAACCTGGTTGATTGGAACATATATACAGGGTGTTTAAAAAAGATCGACCCGATATGAAATCGCTATATCTCTGCAACCACGAACCGCCCATGAATGAAACTCTTACCACTTGAAAGGGTGGGACGTAGAGAGGGTGGGGCATAAAGAGAGGGCGGGGCATAGAGAGGGCGGGGCATAGAGAGAGGACGGGGCTTAGAGTTATAAATGATTACCGCGAGATGCCTCTCCCAGCGCACAAACAGCCCCTAGCCTCCGTCATTCGCAAGACGGTGACCCCGCAACACACAAGGCGTTTTGCGCTCTGCAGTTCAGCAAGACTGAATCCGTAATTGCGGTGCAGCGTGCTTTTCTACGGCGTTTCGGCATTGATCCGCCAATGTCAAAGAGCATTCGTCGTTGGTACCGACAATTTGAGGAAACAGGCTGTTTGTGTAAGGGGAAGAGCACAGGGCGACCACGCACCTCAGAGGTAAACGTGAGAAGAATTCAAGAGAGTTTTCTGCGTAACCCACGTAAGTCCACTCGTCGTGCCAGCCGGGAACTTGCGATCCCTCATACGACTGGCTTGTGTCGAGGCGACGTTTAATCATGAGGCCATATCGGTTGCAAATGGTACAGGCTCTTCGTGCAGGTGACAAAGGAAAGCGTGTAGAATTTTGTGATGCGATGTTACAGAACATGGAGGATGACAGCTTCTTACCGCGTTTGATTTCTAGTAATGAAGCAACGTTTCATCTAAGCGGTAAAGTTAACCGTCACAGTGTGCGCATATGGGGATTAGAGAATCCACACGAAACTGTAGAGTATGAGCGTAATTCCCCGAAAGTGAACGTGTTTTGTGCTGTTTCTCAAAGAAAGGTTTATGGCCCTTTCTTTTTCGAGGGAAACACAATTACGGGGCAAGCGTATCTCGAAATGCTGCAGAAATGTTCTCTTTCCACAACTTGATGAAGATTCCGATGACTTCATTTTTCAGCAAGACGGAGCACCGCCACGTTGGCACCTGCAGGTTCGACGTTTTATGAATGGCACACTGCCTCAACGTTGGATAGGTTGCACGGTACCGTAAGACTTGGCGCTACACTCTTGGCCCCCAAGATCCCCAGACATCACACCCTGCGACTTTTTCTTGTGGGGATACGTCAAAGACCGAGGTGTTTTTGTGCCACCATTAGCGACTAATCTGGATGAACTCAAAAACAGAATCACGGCAGCGGTGACTTCAGTGGAAGAAGAGGCGTTTGGGACGAATTCAACTATCGTCTCGATGTTGTTCGTACAGCAGGTGGAGGGCACATAGAGCATTTATAAAATGGTTCGTAAAACTTGATAACTCATTAAACCGTTTGTAACTTTTTGTGTACTTGTAACATGTTGCCATCGTGAAATATACTGCTTTGAAATTGGGTCCATCTGTTTTTAAACACCCTGTATAATACAGTGACGGGACCAGTATTGGCATGTTGTATTGTCCCAAGTTGCTATCTGCTCAGTCTCCACTTTAAATGGAAGGCCGCCACCTGGCCAAATAATAATCATCATCATCATCATAATTTCAAATGTTTACTTAAAAAATCTTCATTGAGTCTCCATATAAATTTTTTTCCAGATGATACTCTGCTTATTCCGTCTAGCCAGTTGTTTGTTTCTTATTTGGTATGGGAAGAAATGCCAGTGCCGAAAGGCGGGGAACGACACGAAACCTTCTAACAGAGAGATTGTGAACCTCGTTCTTGCACTGCCTGCCGAAATAAACACCACCTCATAGCCAGGGCCACATTAATGCAGCGGCATTACGGGCTGCAGCCCGGGGCCTCCAGAGAAATATATACTGCTTCATAACAATCGGAATGCAATACTGTAGCGCAGTAGTCAATCCTATAGGTAATTTGGTCATTAAAGCAATGGTATCACTGTGCATTACTAGTTGTGTGTTCCAATTAAAATCGTTTTTTTTTGTTTTCACTCCTGATTTAGCTTCACAATTTGTATATCACGTTTACAAATTTAAATCACAAAAGTGAATTACAATAGATTGTGGGCATTGGTGGTGGTGAAGCAGTCTTGGCGACATTTTCCCGCTGCTGAATGAGGGCTGGCGACATAATTGGGAAGGATTTCATCCAGAAGTGGATAGATCATGGCTGATGATAATGATATGATCACGTTGACCCTATATCGTTGTCGTTACCATTTTAGCTGACCTAGTCGTCATGATCGCAAGTCGGCCAAAGAGATTTTTCACACTCGCAATTACCTCTTCGTGATACATTAACCCCAGGTGCAATCAACCAAGGAATCAATCTGTCTGAGGTGCTTTGATGGACACGACATTAATTAATCGGTCAGTCAAACAACTCGAGTCCGTGTGCCGTGTTATTCTTGTGCAACCACAATGCTCGCTCTCACTTGAAGAACATGTGTTATTGTGACACAACGAGTCGTCTTCCCACCATGCCTTGCATGTCACATGACAGCACCACAATGCATGTTCTCATGCACATTTTTTTAGACCACCAACTCAAAAAGAGCCAAAACTCTGGTCGTATTATTTTAGACAGCAACAAGACATTGAGTCAACTATATGCCGGTTTAATCCTTGTTAGGAACCATCCGCAGTGCAGAGCCATCGTTGCCTACCACTGCCTAGGGCCTTACGGGGCTTAATGTGCACGAACCCTGTCTGATGACTGTTGGGAAAGTTTGGCACTGCCTATGGGTGACAATTAACCAAATGTGAAGCTTTCTGTAAATGTTGAGTAACTCATCAGCTGGACAAGTGCGTTCCACTTCTACCGCCGCTGCTATTGCTCTCCTGGCAAACGGACATAGCGTCCTCCACCCCAGCCGGTCACTCGGAGCAGCAGTCCGTGGCTGCCGGGCTGAGAGGCCGGTGTCCCTCTCGATGTATGGAAAGCCGGGCCAGGCGAACGCTTTTCAATCGCCGCTCGGTCTCGCCGCGCACCTCGGCTTGACGCACAGCTGTACAGCGGCACGGGTCGGGGTCGTACTCCAGCGTCTGACGGACGTGACCGAATAGCAGTGAATCTCTTCTGGGCGATGGCAAGGCTGTTGTCTCTGAGGCTGCTACTCCGTGCTGTTATTGTTTTGTGTGTGCAGGCCGGAAACGAATCAACAAACTTGACCATACACCCACCCTCGCTCCCCTACACAAGGTTCCTTGTAACTTGCCCCGTCCCCTTCCCCCCACGACCCCTCTCTGTGCACCAGGCATGCGAATCCTGGTGACGCTGCTGCTGGACACGCTGCCCATGCTGGGGAACGTGCTTCTTCTCTGCTTCTTCGTGTTCTTCGTGTTCGGGATCGTGGGAGTGCAGCTGTGGGCTGGACTTCTGCGCAATCGATGCTTCCAGGCTGAGAACGTGACACTGTGAGTGTGGGTGGCTGGGTGGGTGGTGTGGGTGGGTGACTGTGTGGGTGGGTGGCTGGATGGATTTTCATAACCAAATTTAACAATTAGATACTAAGTCAATTGTGACTTCGTGTATTTTAATTCCAATGGCTGTGTAGGTGGTTGTGTGGGTGGTGGGGATTGGTGGTTGGGTGGTGTGTGTGGGTGGCTGGGTAAATTACTGGCTGGATAGTTGTGTGTTTGGGTGGATGTGTGGGTGAATGGGTGGGTGGGTGAATGGGTGACTTAGTGGGTGGGTGGTGTGGATAGTTGACTTGGTGGGTGGTTGGGTGGGTAGGTGTTGTACGTCGTTGGTGGCCGGCTATGTGAGTGGTATGGCTGGGCGGGTGGTGTGGTTGGACAGGTGGCGGCTTGGGTGGATAATTGTTGCTGGAACAGCACAGGTCCAGCAACTTTAAATACAAAGTGAGCACAGACTAAGAGCGCGATAATGATATTATAACAGATAATAACAAGGACAAACTGTTTCTTGAATTGAGCGAGGGTGTAGGAAATTGGTAAAAGAGATCACGGTTGACAGTTCCAACCCCAGCAGCTAATAGCACTGATAATGGTACAGCAGATGAGAACAAAGATGCCTCTTGATTTGAGCGAGCTCACGGGAACTTGGGCAAAGGCACATTGTGAGAGAGTTGCAAAGTGTGGCACGGGTAAAGGAGGAGGAGAAATTATTAAATTGGTGGAACACATTTATTGCCAATTGTGTAGAAGCAGACATCGACGTTGGTGGTTGTGCGCAGGTATTTAGGAGTGACGCTCGTGAGAACAATGATGTTGGCAAGGAGAGATTCAAGAGTGTCCGAGCAATGGGGGAGAACGACCGAAGTGAATCTACGTGTGGACGTCAATCAACTGGCACTGTCTTGATTTGAAGCTTTCGTGACTGCAGGAATCCATACTCTGCGGTTCGTTCGGTAAAGTCACGTAGGTAGAAAAAATAATAAATCACGACGTTTCGATCGCAACAACAAGCGACCGTCTACAACTGGAACTGGTTTATGATGGAGCCCTAACCAGCAGAGTGGTGTAGGAATTCGTGGCTTGCTCCCCAGATGCAACCAAAGTTCTCCAACCTTAGCTGCACTTGCGCTTTGTACAGCAGAGGTGACTGATGGAGGCTCAAGGAGGCTAAGAAATAAATACGATTTTAAAACAAGCTTCTTCAATGGCTCCTTAGCCAAGTGAGCGATGTAACTGTTCCAACACAAGTCGGAGAGAATGGTCTCATCGAAACAGATTGAAGCGTTCACTATCAATCAGCCCGAAACAAAAAAAAACTCTATTATAGATGATATTGGTCAAGAAAGCTTACGTGTTAAACTTAAATGTTTATTTTGTTCATGCTTCTTCCACCCATTCATGTTCACGTGTTGCTCTCACCGAATGGCGAGACAGTACTGCCAAGCAGAACGCTCACAGCGCGTTGTCTGACACTTCGACATCCAGTCCAGGGATTGGGTGACTGCAGAGTGTCGCACAGCTGCGTTCATTCAATTTGGGTTTTGTAATCATTCGAACAACAACAACAACGCGGCCACAACCTCAAGATGCAGAGCAAATGTGAAACTGCTCGTGTTCAGATTGTCTTTGTCGAGAAGAGGGAGTGAGAGAGAATGGAAGAGGGGTAGCAGGGGAGATGTAGTGTCTCTTGCGGTTAACCCTCTTCTTCAATCAAGGGATACATTCGTTACGCTTTGAAAAAAGTATTCCTAGCGTAGCATTTGGACTCAAATGTTATGAGATGGCCTGGTGGCTCAGAGGGTCAGAGCCCTCAGCTGGCACCTGATTAAACACTTCACAAGTGCGGTGAGTTGATGGTTTCAGGCCCGGTCACCAATTACTCTACGACAATTATTATATTTGTGTTTGCACTTCATGTGTCTAATTTCATTGTCAAAGGATGAACATTACTCTTTGTAGCATGCAAATGCTACCTCCTTCCCCCCTCCTAATTGTGCGGGTAAGAGCTTCCTTGAAATGATCTCAAACGTAGTTCTGCAATATTCACTTCCACGGGATGCCCTCCAACACGAAGAGTGGCATTACGATGCGAGTGATCGGGATTGCATGATTTCAGACTTGCCTAAAGATCCCATCGAAGACAAGTCCGTCAGTCTATTATCTAAAGACCACAATCATAGACCTCTTTGCTCGTGTATTGTCTCAAGGAGGTTATCAGAGACCGGCATGTTATCTAGAGAAGCCATGGGAGATTGATCTGCCAGTCTGTTATTGAAAGTATCTCAACCGTAACAGGGTCAAGGTAACGAGGTCACCGTTGCCAGTGTCATTAGACCCACCACACATTTCCATCACTTCCTCCTGCTAAATTCCATTTTTTTTGCAAAGTTAACCCCTGACCTACAAGCACCCTTCTTCCAATCTCATCCCCACTCATCACAACCTCCTCTCCCCGATCGCATCCACAACATTTTTCTCGTTTTCGTTTTTTCCCCCAAAGTGTAAATCTTTGCGTAAATCTCACAGGCTATCTATCGCGCGGACGTCTATGCACATGTGCACGCTTTGGAACACAATGTGCACGTCTTCTCAAGGTCGATATGCAGCCCGCAAGGTTACTTCCCCAACCTGGATGCATTCAAGATCATTCCTGCCGCTTTTATAATGGCCAATTTACTGCAGTGACATAACTGCTCGCGGAAATTTGCCACTTCCACTCTTCATTGCCACAGAGAATTCGCTCGTATTCCCAAGACGCCTTATTTATTTACAGGGCACTAGCAAACAGCTCGCATTTGCATGAATATACTCCCATGTAGCATGTGAGCAATATGGTGTGTGTGTTTAACAGGCCAGTTGTTCCATAGCAAGCATCAAAGTGCTCACGACTCCCGTGGGGTTGCGTGTATGCAAGCATATCTACGCACGTGCGGAAGGATGAGTACGCACGCACAAAGACGTGCATACAAATGTACGTGTGCACGGGTACATGCGTGAAGCTAATATAAAGAATTGCAGACACGTATACATATACGGTTGTAGAAAACAAGACAAAGATCCCCTGTATAGTCTTAACAGATTTTGGGGGCAAGTGCTGTTAGCGAGCACCTATGGAGGCCGGCACGGCACGCGAGAGGGTGGGTGGCCAGCACCACGCCCGTCCACCTTTGTCTCCCCAGTGGCGATGTTACACATCGCACCAGGTACTCATTTGAGGCTAAGTCAACCTAAGGGAAGTCTATGACCGGTTCAGGTAATCGTCACTGGTGTTGGCCGTGAGCGGGAATAGAACTCGGATCACTGGGTATGCAGCACAACGCGCTACACTTACACACGTGCGAGTTTACACACGTAAACTCAAACTCGCACACACACCTACATACACATTTACACAAAGGCATTTCCTAGATTCACCCTGGTGTTCACTGGCGGAAGAAGACAAGCGACTGTGGACGATTCTTCTTTTTTGTCAATGTTGCTGTGAAGTCTAATAACTTTCATGACCAATTCAGGTAATTAGCGACGCTGTGCCAGTGCGTTCACATGAGCCCCAATGCCCAGCCTGTGCCTGGGGAATCGAATGCGCTGCTGGTAGAACGCTTTGTTTCCCAAAATTAGGCTCAGCAGTCTGTCCTGCCTCTGCACACATACACAGACAAAGGTCCCCCACGTGGCCCACCAGCTGCTGTTGGGGAATCGGGGAGCGATCCGCGGGGGTCGCCGCTTCGCACGAGGTCAGCGACGGGGGACCGCGCCAACTCCTGGCCGTGTTTGGTCTCCCGGGGACAGAAATGTCTCGCAATTTTAAACAGGGGTGCTCACCTTTCGGTGGACTCAGTGCCTGAGCCCCAATGATCAGCCCGTAGTTGAGTCGACCGAGAAGATATCCGGCCACCGATGTTGGCCGTGAGTGGGAGTTGAACCCAGGCCACTGGGTGGGCAGCAGAGTGCGTGATTCACTGCACCACCCACGGTCAATGACAAAAGAACAAAACAAAGAAAAACCACCACTCCATGTACACACACACACACACTTTGAAATCAACAAAGAATGAGAATAAATAAGTATTATGCTCACACACCCACAAGGACCCAACTCAAACACACTACAAAGATGAATCTCCCTGGTCACATCGATAAACTGTTTGGGCAAGTGTTGTTAGCGAGCACCTATTACGCATGCCTGCATGCATGCGTGCATACCCACTTATGCAGTCAGCTGTAGAATGACACTGAGCCCACACTCATTCATCATCCAACACTTTTGTGCACCTCCGGGCATTGGCATGGGAGGACTTGATGGGAGCAATACATCCTGGAATGTACGCACATGCACACGCACACATACAGGCACGCACGCACACACACACACAAATAGACAAGATACAAAGATCTCCCGTATAGCCTGTTGGGGAAAGTGCTCTTAGCAAGCATCCATTAAGGACACGTCCATGTGTACATACATACATATGCACTCTTGCATAGATATGAAAACATATCTCCCATGTAGCCATACAGATTCTTGTAATACCACAGTCAGCAAGTGCCTGTTCTGGCTGTCACAACTCGTGAGGAGTTGGTGTGGCCAAAACCATGGCCTGCCGCCTCTGTGCTCCCAGCAATGACATTTGCACATTGTAACAGGTACTCATTTAAGGCTGAGTCGACCTAGGGGAGGTCCAAGGACATGTTCAAATTCGACTTGCTAATGTTGCTGTGAATGTCTGGAGATCAACCACGGGGTACACGAGGCGCATGGCACATGGAACTGGGTCTCTGTGGGCCTACGTGTATTTAACTCTGCACGTTAACGACTCTGCAGGGAGAACTCCTTTTCCACGGCGGTGAGGTGAGCGACCAACAACGCGGACCCTGTTATCCACGGGGTTATCCGCGAAATGGCTCGTATTTGTGGGGTAAAAGATTGCAAATAACCCTGCGGATAGTGGGGTGAATGTTCCACTACGGAGAGTCTTCTCTGCGGAAACCACGAGTAT